GCGTCGCGACGCCGCGCCGGGGGATGCTGGAGCCGTAGCCGGGAAAAGCGAGAAGCGGGAAGCGTGGACGGCTCAGTGTAGCCCGGAAGCCGAGAGAGACCCGCGTGGATGGGCCTTTCACGCTCGCCCGAAGCGCCGCCCCCGCCCCCGGCCCAGCCCCCTCCCCCCTCGCCCACGCTGTGCTCCCGCTCGTGTTTACTCTGTGTTCCCCGTCCGAAAACCCGCTCAAATTCCCCCAACCGCCTCCCCAAGGCCTACCGCGATGAGGTCAAGTGCTCCAAAAAGCTCCTCAAAGATAGCAAGGTGAGTGCCCCTCCATCATCCCTCGATCACATGGACCGGAAATTGACCACCGAACAAGGTTAGGAATCGGTCGTCACGATATCGACGGTCGAAGTGTAGAACCACCCATCTACGTTCTGCCGTGCAACGCAAAAACGCCGTAAACACCATGTTACATTTTTTGGAAACAATGTATCATAGTGGAAAAACCTGTGTACCGCGGGACAATGATTTTACAGAATTCTTCCGCAAATACTGTCAAGAACTTAACCTGAAAATTTGAGGTGTATGGGTAAAACAGTTGTTATTTTAATGAAGTGTTAAGCGCCAAAAACCGCGGGAAAATCTTGATGGATTTACGGCGAACTTGCTTAGCACGGCAGCAAAGTGCGGAACCACCTATCTCTGTTGTGGTGTTTCAGTATTTTTGCTCATATTTTTTTTTTTTTTTTTTTTTTTTTTTTTTTTTTTTTTTTTTTTTTGAGGAGGAACAAGTCAAGTTTGTGGCTTGAAATTTATGCAGAATATTCTGTCGATAGAGAAGAAAAATCAAGGAAGTTTTCAAGATATTACGTTGACTGCGGTTTCCTAAAGAAAAATAAAGTATGACAGGAAGTTTGCAACGTTGCAAGCGGGGATACGTGGTTTCGTACTCTGAATATGCATGTCGATGGCCACAGAGCGAAACCACGTAATTTTAATTGTATGGTGTTTCATCATTTCCTCTCCTATTTTATTTTATCCAAGAGAAACAAGTTAACTTCATTGCCTGGAATGGATGCAGAGTATTCTGCTGATGGAGAGTGAAACTTCGGAAAATTTTCAAGGAAGTACGTTAAAAGCACGTAGAAACATAATTATGATAGGAAGTATTAAATGTCACGAACGGGGATTTGTGCGGTTTCGCAAGTAAACATCGATACATTCGATGGTGAAACTGCATGAACTCATATCTTGGTCTGCGACAATTTGCCTTCAATTGATAAGATAGGCAAAAGCGGCTACTCAGAAGCTGCAATAGTTGTATCCTTGTATTTTACACACTACAAAATGTAAATGGAAAGTTGAAAGACGGCTCTCTTATCTTCTGCAACTAAATCGACAGCAAAACTGCAAAAATCCGGATCTCGGTTTGTGACGTTCCAGACTTTATGTCATAATTTTTACTTGAATGGAAAAATATTCAACGTCCTTTTTTGAAAACTTCCGTGATATTTCTTCTCTGTGGGAGGGATATTCTATGAAAGTGTCAAGTATAGATTTGTTCTCCTTTGATGAAGTAAAATGGCAGCTGAGTTTTTGAAACACAATCGACGAGATATGCGTTTTTGCAGTTTCAAAGTCGCTATGTTTCCTCATCGGAATTCTTGCAGAACTGGATGTCAAATAGAGAATTTTCAAATTCAACCCATATAGATAGCAGCAATTTTCTCATTCGTGAGGGCAAACTTTCTGCGTTCTTCAAACAACCATAGGCTACTTAGGTCGAATCGCTCACTAAATTTCTCGCAGCGCAAGCTTTGAGATCAAACCATTATTTTTTAAATAAGAACATTTTTAAGAGATTAATATCTAACGATTTGCTGAGCATAATATGAATTGGTTTTTAATAACGTACATTGATTTGTTTTTTTTTTTTTTTTTTTTTTATCATATTTTCCATAATCGGAGTGAAATTCATAGAAAGTTTTGAAACTTATTTTCCAGTTAAACACAATAATCAATGAGAACATGAGAAAAAATTAGCCAACGTTGAATGCAACTTGATTGAAGTTAAAACCCATTTATTTTCTTGTAGACAAAATTTTGTCAATTCATTGTCTTGAAACTTCTATTTAATATTGAAATCCCGTGCAAATTTCACGAAATAAGGGAGATAAAAATCTAATCTTCATTTCTTCTGCGAAACTGGAGCGAATTTTCGAGCCTGTTGTTAATAGCAACTGTTTCACCATAAATTAATTGGACTAGTTTTTAGTAAAAATGAACTGACACACCATTCCAATGTTACCAAGGTTGTGCAACTATTTTTGTCTGTAGTAAAGTAAGCGAAATCACATAATAAATGGAATTTACCGGATAATTTTATTACTTACACTTAATTAAGATGATTTTGGTGCTCACATGATAAGTGAATAGAAATAAACATAAAATAAACTGCACGTTCGATTCTTTTGGTTCATTTCCGAGCAAACTCTTTCATACAGTAGGGCAAAGTTGGCATTAAAAGCTGGAAAAATTGCACAAAAAACCAAATTAATCGAAGTAAAACTTAACAAAAAAGGAAGAAATTGAAGAAATGAAAGTAAAAACTTACAAGAGGGAAAGAAAAGCGGGGTGAAGAAAAAAAAAGAGAGACGAAACACAATTCATCCAAACATACAGAGAGCAGCGTGTTTTGGAGTCTTTCAGTTCATTGCAAAATTATTGTCGGAGATACGTCACTCTAAAAAGGATTGCGAAATTTCTGGGGCTGCTTTAATTTTATGCAAATGAGGAAAAATGGAAAGCACCAAGGGAAGCACCTAAACGAGGCTTTACCGCACCCTGCGCAAGAGCTCTTTGTCTCGTTGCAACTTTCATTTGATGCTGCATTCAATTTACCCCGAGCGACACAAATGAATGAAATATGTTCCTCTTCCTTTCTTCCGTGTTTTATGGTTAATTCCAGCCGTTCGTTATGTTCAATGAGCATATTGTAATTAAAGGAAATTACGCGCAACAGACAGCTCCGGCAGGGAGGGTTTGCGGATGCCCCCACTGGCGCGTTAAGTCACGTGGCATTGTTTTGGGGTGGGAGAGGGGCCCTCCCTTAGGTACATTATTATACGTGGAGCGCTGGTCATAAATATAATCACTTCCCTTACGGTGAATGGACCCGGGCGATGCCGGTTTTTTACCAGAGGCTGCGGATTTCCGATTTATTTTTCTTGTTTTTGGGTGCGATTTGACAAGTTTATTCAGGCCATCATTTTCCACCCTCTCGTGGGTTAAGTCCTTAAGCCGGTGCGCTGGGATCCCCTATAAAAATTGCTACTTTTTACGAGCCAGGCGTTTGTGTTCTTACTTTTTTTGGGCGATCTGTGAATCGTTCCTCCGCTGGGTTTTCAAATTACTTTTTTCTATTAGGCTGTACCGATATAAGTGTTTATTTTCTCCTTCTTTATTTCGTCAATAGTATTGATTTCTTTCTTTTCTTTTCTTTCATTCTATTTTTTGGAGATAACGTTCAGCCTGAAATGATTTTGGGAAAGTTCATTCCCCTTAAAACCGCCTTGGGTCTGAGGGCTAAAATCGAAGAAAATTCGTGTTTTCTCAGTGTTCCCCCGCAGATTTTGTGCTGGGCCCAAATGTGATAGATGTTCTTATGATATTTTTTTGGGGGCAACGCAGGACGTAAATTATGTAAAGATGGTCAACTGTAACCCCACGCTTCAACATAAAATCTGAGGAAAAACCCTAAAAAATACAAATTTTTGCCGATTTCGGGTTTCGGACACAAAAGGCCCGCGACCAGGCCCTAAAAGCGTTAGTGTTCACAAAACCCAAATATTTTTTTAAAAAAACATATATCATCAACTTCCGAGATCCTGTGATCGGACCAATTTTGACTTTTATTAATTCCCCTCCCTTGATCCAAATCCGACTATTTAAAAAAAAAAAAAAAAAAAAAAAAAAAAAAAAAAGCGTAGCTATGTATGCTAACGTAGCAAACGTAGCATAGTTGTGACTGCATTGTCGAACGCTATATCCAGTTGCGTGGCGTGCTGTGCGATGTACCTATCGATTGATATGTCATTTAAACCTATGGCAAAGGATCGATAAACAGGGTGTTCCAGTGGCGTGGCATGCTTTGCGATATATCGATTATCTATCAATTAAACCTATGGAAAATGATCGATAAACAGGGTGTTTGCAACGAGCATTACTTAATCGATTCTTTATTATAGCTTCAAATTAGGAAATATCGATACTCGATCGTTCACACCTCTGACGCTACATAATTGTAATAGGTATTGCGTTTGTTTTTTTAATTTTAATCCTTATCAGGTCCCCTGAGTAACCACTTAAAGTCTAAGCATCAAAGGAAGCTGCAAGCGCAATATAGACCCACAATCATGATTTACAGCGGTCAAAGACGACATCCATATTTGAGCGCCACTTTCCGCCCGGAGCGTCTGCGAATACCAAGCGCATACATGTATAAATCGAAAAGGATGTGAGTTATCGGTTCAGAGCTGCGGATCTTCTCGCGAATTTTTCCTCCCTTCTTTCTCGCGCTTCGAACCATTTTCCGGCGCACAGTGGATCGAGTCAATAAAAGAGGTCAAACATACTTTTTTTTTACTAAAACTACACATTTTTATATTAATTTCGTCACATTTTAAATTTCAAGGGGCGCTCAAAGAAGAAAATTTTACGAGGAAACCAAAGGAATCACTTTTAGAACCTCAAACTTTTGTATAAACGGAGTTATAAGCGTTTAAAGTTTCCAAATTTTGTTCCATCGACTCGATCCACTGTGCGGCGGTTCGCGCGTCCCACACTTAGCATCCAAATTGCATTCGCGCACGCTGTCTCGTCCGGATTTCTTGTTGCAGCACTCTGCCGTGTTACGGAAGAACGCCGTAAGTGCATTTCTGTATGAGCCGCGGTTAGCACGTGCTCTTATGTGTCATGAGGCTCATCCCAGACTGTACTTACGAGTTTTTTCCGTGATACGGCAGCACTGCGAGCACGTCCCCGGATGCAGAGTCTGCAGTGCTCCAGTTATTTTTATGACCTTCGATGATCAGGACTCCCAGAATAATTGAGACGTGTAGGAAGGAACGGGTGTGAGCGCATTCTTATGTCGTCTGGGCTCTAGTGACGTAGTAGAATGTGACCCTCCACGGAAAAAAAGAGGGAAGAAAGAAAAAATCAGTTCGTATAGCTGAAGAATCCTGAATGCAACTATTCGTACGTGAAGGATGTCCGTGTTGCATATTCAAAAGAATGAAGGCGCCCGATACTTCTTAGCG